TCTGGGTTTTTTTAGGGGTTGTAGGTTGTCGGGTTTGGGGGGCCATAGGCTTTCTAGAGTTGCTTCAGGTCGGGTTCCATGGGTCTTCATGGGGGGTTTATAGGGCGCTGTCACTGTCCATCAGTATAGGGCTTCATGTAGGGTTTCATGAGCTGTTGTGGGGCTTCTACAGGGCATAAGGTAGGATGTAAGATGGCTTAAGGGTTTAGGGTTTAATCGGTGATTTGTTCTGGTTAGGATTTAGGGTATTTCGAGGGAGGGCCTTATGTATTTCGAGGGGAGGGTCGTGTCTGAGTTAAAGTTCATATTCGTGGCGTTGGGCTAGTGTTTGTTTCGAGACTAGGTCTAGGATGCAACGTTTGGGATTGAAGTGTGTCGTGTTTAACAGGGTTTTGCCGGGGTTATAGGGTCAGGAACCCCATAAATCCCAGAATGTCCCATGCTGCAGATCTCTCCTCCATGAATGAGAATTCTTACACCTGTCTCCTTTCTCAGAACTCATTATGCATGCCCCGTTGCACCTGAACTGTGAGCCTCAGGCAGAACTCAAAATCAATGTTTGAAGCTGAACAGTTACATAGTTCAGGGTTTAGGGGTTAGGGGTTTAAATCCTGAAGAAACAACGGTGCTTAAGTCCTGGCCACCAAAACTCGCGTGCTGATCTTTCCGTTCACGACATCGAGGCTTCCTATTGAACATGCAGCTGTGTCAGTGGCCCTGCTCTGCAGCATCATGGGTGCACAAAAATCATCTTAAACTAGCCTTAGGCCCTGACCCTGTAGAGCACGTATAGTAAGACTGATCGAAACCGCATTCCATTTAATTCCATTTAGCGAGGCCCTACTAGTCAGGCCCTCCCATCAGGCTGAGTTGGGACATTTCTGAGGCAAATGTATCCTGCGACAGCAACGTGCTCTTCATGGAGGTGCATAATATAGGGGCCTGACGAACTACTAGTGGTATCCGCTTGGTTCCCTGATACAACCGACCAAGACGAATGGTAAGTTCCTTAATGTCCCACATATACATGTATATATATATATATACATACCCACACACACACACATATATATATATATCTAACTACAGGTTTCGGAGCCTGTGTTGGTGTAAATACGTATATGTATAGGTATATGTCTATGTATATGTATATGTATATGTACACACACACACACATATATATATATATATATGCGACCCCCCCACGAACTACCGCGACGTGCCGCGATAGCGCCACCAATCCTCCTAAGTTAGGTCTCTGGTGTATGATCCAGGTTTAACATTAGGTTTTGAAGTTCCGACAGGACAGCATATGTTTAATTATATCTTCCGCCTGCATTCTCAATTCTTGCGACCCTTTACGCAGATACTTCGAGAGATGATTTCTCTGATGATGAAAGGCATTTCTGTTCGAGTTCCAATATCCGAAGCTCAATATGGGCCCGAGTATTAACTCCCATGGTCGCCTTCACTGCAGTCTCAGATCACAACCTCCGCAATAGGTATGAATGACCGCGAGGCTTGACTGGCTCCCAGTCTTAAACAACAGAATCCCAAAGACTAACCCTGCCATTAGACCTTACATTGGCGCCAATGGTGACAGCAGTCATGTATTTCATGTTCACCCAAAAAAGATGCATTATAGCGTCAAATCGTAGTTCGTATGATTTACATGCTATTTCGACTAGTAACCCCGTTATACATCCCATATTAACCCCCATATCGACGTGAGGGTGAACATACCAACATTCATCAGCCTGATTGGCCCACCGATAATAAGGATATTGCAATCCTCTTGGCAACCCTAATATAGTGGATCTGACTCCAAGATGGACATGACTCGCAAACTATACTTTACCCATAAGCTTTTCCCATTTGTAACATTCGTACTCTTCCAGATGCTTCCTTCAAGCAATTCAAACAATGGCCTGAAAAAAACCCCGACTATTGGCCTCATCAAAAGGTTAATTAATCCAGATGTAGCTATGGGATCCTTATAACATGAGCATTCAAGTCAAGAGTGTCGGCGTGGGGGGGTCGCTAATCCGTCTGTTCCACTCGCTCCACGCGTTCCGACCGTTCCACTCGTTCCGACCGTTCCGGTCGTTCCACTCGTTCCACTCTTTCCGACCGTTCCAGTCGTCCCACTCGTTTCACTCACGTTCCATTCGTGCCACTCGCTCCACTCGCCCTGTAAGTTACTTGCTCCACTCATTCCTTTCGTCTACAGCGCGACTGGCGAGTGGCTCGAGTGGCGCGAGTGGCGGGGCACGAGTGACGCGAGCGGCGCGGACGACTTCAATTCCTCGCCCCCCTCCCTTGAATGGTCGCACTGTTTTGGGGGCACCACAATGAATCAGTTTGTTCCAAACGTTCCACTCGCTCCACTCGCCCTGTGTCTTACCTGTTCCACTCGTTCCTGTTGACTAGCTCTGGCGCAAGTAGCTCGAGCGGCGCGAGTGGCGCAGACGGCTTTAATTTCCCCCCGCGCACGGTCGCCATGAGCAGTCCCCAAAGAAATAAGTCATGGCATCCCTAGTACTATTCACTGGTTTATTATCAATACACGTAAGCTAAATTAGATAAATACTGCCCAAACCTATACTTCAACAGTAGCCGTCATGTTCATGCGAATGATAAATTACACAAAACGATATCCATTAAGAGCCACGATCCTTGCTGTCTTCACTCTGGCGTTGCCCAAATGATTTTTGTGTTTTTGTTGATTTCCCTAGTGAAAGTTGTTTTTGATTGGAAGAGCACAATGTTGCCGTGGAGTGCGTGCTGACGTCAATTCTGAACGAATTGTCTGGCACGTTCTATTGAAATGTGGGTTTGGTTTTGGTAGTCTTTGAGAGATACAGAATCCGGACCTGCCGGAAAGCTGGTTTGACACGGTATCTACGACACAAAACGAGGGTTGGTGGTTCATGGGGGATTACCATTTGTGTGTGTATATATATATATATACATACATATGTATACATATATATATGTACACACACATACATGTTGGCGGGGGCAAGTTGGCTCAACTCAGGGATGGGGTGTCTCTTGGGCTCTTTTTTGCAGGTAAATCTTTATTTCTGAACCCTAAAGTTGCAAGCCACTCAATTAAACTATGACCTTAAACCCATCTAAACCCCAACCTCCCTAAGCATTAAACCCTACACCGCCTGAGCCGCCGCACGTAGTCTCAACATAGACAGTGCGAGAACATCGCGAACTGGACCATGGCAACATGCTCTTGTATTGCAACGCAGGCGTCCTCAGCGCCCACGTGGGGTTTTTTAAGCACCGCAAAAAGGCTCATCATGTCGATGTGCATTCCGAACACGAACCAGCTCCAAGATCAACCGGTATAATATGCAATTAAGTTACCATAATGTAGTTTCATCCTTCTTGGTCTGATTAATAGTATACTTTAATAGTTATACACAACAACAATGACCCGCAGCAGCCGAGAGCCTCCACAGCAGGGTCATGAAGCTGCAAGATTTCCCAGTACCTGAGCCTTCAACAAGCCCACGACCCCGGTAAACCTTTAAAACAAGCCTCAAAAATGAGCCATAAACCAAAAAATACTACAGCAACATTTATGCTAAAGACCTTAGCAGAAACTCTACTAGCAACCTTCCACAGTTCTTTCGGAACCTGCCCAGATGATGAACCGGGAAGCTGCGAAGTTGGGCCTTCAGGCACAGCTGCGGCAGTATTTTGGGTTTCTAGGGTCAGGGTTTAGTCACGTTTAGTGTGTAGGGTTCAAGCTTTTGGGGGAGTTGCTGCGTTGCTACTGGAAGGTTTGCTCTGCAATACATGTTTGCCTGTTTTTAAGGAATGCCCTCTTGATTGAGCAGGACCAGGGATACAATTTCAGAGGGGATCGGAGAACATCCCAGTTTATGGCTGGACCTGCCAGCCGTTTCTCGGTCTGCCTGGGCACCTGGATGTGCTTGCTTTCCGAACGATAAATGTGCCTTCAAGCTATCCAACTCCATCTTACAGGTTGGACCCTGTTGCTTCACTACTTACCACGGCTCGTCGAGGGTCCTTGTAGCCTATGACAAGGATCCTTCGCGGGCTTCCATTTTTGAATCAAGGGGGGTAGTGTTCGGGGCCGTTCAGGTTGCCTAGGCTGAGGGATCTGTGTCTGACGCTTCCCTCGACAGCCCAACACCCTGGAATTAATGACTACGTAGAAACCCGAACCCTGCACGTCAAACCGCAAGCCTCAAATCCTACTCCCGAGCCGTTGCTGTTTTGTTTTTGTGGGGGAGCGGTGGGTTGCTTTGGGTGTTTTTCGAGGAGTGTCGGCGTCCCGGGGTTTGATAGAGTTGAGGCTGTGTGGGTGGCCCGACGCGCTAAGGTGAATAAGTTCAACCTCTAATAATCCGAAACCCTAGAGCCTGAAAGCTCTTTAGGTGCTCTTCCACGAGAAGCCATTTGCCGGCATCAACGGGAGTGGCAAGCACGCGAACTGGTCCGTCGGCACTGACACAGGCCGGTCTAATCGTAAGTGGTGTTCCTGTTTAATGTAAGTGTTGCGAGAGTTGGTACTATAATCACCCTAAACCCTAAACCCCGTAACCCCTAAACCCTAAAATCCTAAACCCTAAGCCCTAAGCCCAAAGCTCTTAAGCCCTAAAGCCTAAACCCTAAGCCCTAAGCCCTAAGCCCTAAGCAGTTTTGGCTGCGCCTGACTTTGGGTTTGCAAGGTGTTCGGGCGGGTGGGGGGATTCTGGGTCAAAGATCGGGCCGGGAGCCCTGAACTCAAAACCAAAACCCGTTGCTACCCAAAGCCGTTACAAACCCCAACCCCCAAAGCCCAAACCCTAAACCCTAAACGCTGAACCCTGAACCCCTGAACCTAAACCCTAAACCCTAAAACCCTAAGCCCCCACCCCAAAGCCTAAGCCCCAAACCCCAAAACCCCAAACCCTAAACTTCCCTACACCCTGGCTTCCAAGCCCTGACGAGGTCTCAACTTCTTCTACCCGGGCAAGACCGAAGCTGGGCTCTTGTTAAGGGATTTTACTTAAGTTACCATAATAAGGAAACCATAGTCTTTACTATAGGTCCCCATTTTGTTAACTTAAATAAAAAACCCCTTAACAAGAACCAAGGCCCTAAACCCTAAATCCTCAACCCTAAACCCTAAACCCTCAACCCTAAACCCTAAGCCCTCAACCTTAACTAAAAAACCCCTAAACCCTGAACCCAGGAAGAGGGAGCGAAGCTCTTCGTCACCGGCATTGCCTGCCTTTCGCGCCTCGGAGAAGGGGGTCCTCAGGTTTGAAGCTGGCTTTCGCCTTTCACGGTTTAGGGTTGAGGGTTTAGGGTTGAGGGTTGAGGGTTTAGGGCCTTAGGGTTGAGGGTTTAGGGTTTAGGGCCTTGCTTCTTGTTAAGCTTTTTTTTCTTCAAGTTGCCATAATGGGATACTATAGTAAATAATATGGTTTCCTCATTATGGTAGCTTAGATAAAATTCCTTAACAAGAACCCAGTCACCCTAAAACCCAAGCCGAAGACGCGTCCACCCTACACCCGAAGCCCTAAACCCCGAAATCTTAAACCCGAAGCCCCAAAGCCTTGAGCCCTGAACCCGATAACCTAAACCCTAAACCCTAAACCCTCAACCCTAAATTTATAAGCACTAAACCCTAAAGCCCTAAAAGCCTTAAGAGCCCTAAACCTGTCAGCCCTCAACCCAAAACCATGAAGTCGTAGTAAGAGGGCGGGGGGCTCACGATGGACTCGTCGGAGCCCAAGGGGCGATGTCACCGTTCAAGGTTTATGGGGTTTGGGGTTCAGGGCCAAGGCCATTTGATGGAGGCCTGGTAGGTGAACTTAGATTATTGAGTAACATGGTGGGGCAATAGGTGTTGTCTTCTTCTTCTTCTTGGTCGTCCTGTCACTGTCGCTCTTGCCCCTATAGCTACTGCCACTGCAGCTATTGCTACTACGTTCACAACCCCCCAACCCTGAATCCTAATCCCTGAACCCTAAATCCTGATCCAGCAGGTATGGCCTTGCCCAGTATAACGAGCTCGTTCGCTGCACTGTGGCCTCTGCTGGCAACGACCATCGCCTGGGTGCGCAGGTGGGACTGCGGGGAAGAAGAGGGCGTGCCTGAAGGTAGCGGACGTGGTTTATGGTTGAGGTTGCGCGTTTCAATTTTTCTCCAGCGTGTGCATCTAGACAGGTAGATGTGGCTATACCCAGAGGCCCCTAAGTAGTTCCTTTTTGGGATTACCTTATAGGATTCTAAATATAAGCCATAACAAGGAACTACTTAGGAGCCTATGGGTAGTGGTGATGGAGGGGCCCCAGTAGCAGGAACTCCCAGGCTTTCAGGGCATGGAATCTTAAGCTACCGTCCATATTGAAGGGCTTCCTGCATGAGGGCCCTACATCAGTCTAGACATAGTCAGGTCACCCTAGGTAAACTAAACCCTTCTAATCCCCCCAACCTGAAATCCAAGACAGTCCTATCAGAATCGGGATTCCAAGGGATAACTTGCATGAGCCTTAAAGCATAAAGCCCTGTGCGTGAGAGGGAGCGAGAGAGAGAGCGAGAGAGAGAGATTGTGTGTGTGTGTGTGTTTGTGTGTGTGTGTGTGAGTGTTTGTGTGTGTGTGTGCGCGCGTGTGTGTGTGTGTGTGTTGGTTGCAGGGTTTTGCAGTTTTGCATGCCCCTCGGTACAAGGCTGTAAGCACAGTAGGCCCCGACGCCAGAGCTCAAGGCCCTAGAGTTTGGAGGAGTGATGGGAGCCGCGGTTACCCTCCAGATCTACGCCCGAAGCTGTCAACCACAGGCCCTCACCACTAAGACTCTGCCCGCGACCCTAAATCCTGCACTGTCATTCTCCCGGTGTAATATAGTGGCCTGAATAAAGACTAACACTATTTTGGGGAGTTCCTGACTATGATGTTTGTATACTCTACCCCAAAACCCCATTCTAATTATTAAGGCCCGCTACATCACCTCAACTCTGCACCTTAAACTCTGAAGACTGTCACTCTCTCCGTGTGCTCCGTCGACGAAAGCTTCATATAAAGCCTAAACCCTAAACCCCTAACCCCTTAACCCCTAAACCGCTAAACCCCTAAACCCTAAACCCTAAACTCCTAAAACCTGAACCCCTAAACCCCTAAACCCCTAAACCCTAAACCCTAAACTTCAGAAAGCCATCTCGAAGCACTTCGTAGGAGGCGCCTCCGGCCATCATCTCACTCTACCCGGGCCAGGCCCCGTTTAGGGTTTGTAGGTTGTTGGGTTGTAGAGGGCTTAGGAATAGGGTTTGTAGGGTTTGGGGGGTTTAGGGTTTAGGGTTTAGGCTTCGGGTTTAGGGTTTGTAGGTTGTTTTTTTTTGTTTAGGGTTAAGAAGGTTTTAGGCTCTAGAGGGCTGAGGAGTTACATAGGGTTGGGTTTAGGGTTTAGGGTTTAGGCTCAGGGTTGAGGGTTTAGGGTTTAAGCTTAGGAGTTAAGTAGGGTTTGTAGGGTTTAAGCAAGGGGGTTGTGAGTGGTTGGGCTATTGGGTCTGGCAGTGGTCCTCAAGGTCTGGGAGTGCGGGTGTAAGCCCTGTTTTTAGGGGTATATAGGGTTCAGGGTATATAGAGTTTAGGGTTTAGGGTGTGTAGGGTTTAGGGTATATAGGGTATATAGAGGGTTTAGGGTATAAGCCCATAAATCCTAAGCCCGAGGGCCCTGAACCCGAATCATCTCCTGAGGGCACTTCGGATGCGTCGATATGATACCAGCTCTGAGGGATGTAGCCTTTGTTCAGGGTTTAGGTTTAGGGTTAGGGGCCCTTTGTAGGTTTGAAAACGCAAACCCCCAATTTGTCCTAAGCCATGTCGCGAGCGAACAACAGGAACCCATCACCACGGCTGCAAGATCCGCCGTGCTAGGAGCAACACACACACACCACAGGCTGTCCAAGGCACTTGCCTTGTCCGTGCCAGGGCTTCGAGAAGTACGTGGACGAGGTCATCAACGGTGCAGAGCTCACGGGGTACAAGGCCCGTTTAGTGACCGGGGCTGAGAAAGCTTTAGGGACGGGTTTGCCAGGGTTCTGGATACACCTTCAGTTGGAGCCTAGCTAACTCTGAGCCTAAACCCTATACCCGCTGTGATGGGCCTAAACCGCCCAAAGCCCTCAAAAGCCTCCTTCTTAGGAAACGCCGGACCCTCAAGCCCCTATATAATCCAGAAGCAGTTTCGGACCCCATGTGTTCTCGAAGCCGAACCCTGCGACCCACCCTTATACAGTATCCTTATAGTATCCATTGTGGCAACCCTTATCATACAACACTATCCTCATACAACCCTTTAGAGGATTCTGTAGCCCTAAACCTAAACCCCTAAAGCCCAAAAAGCCCTAAATCGGAACCCTTAAAGGAACCTTTTAAGGACCTCTGAAAGGAATCCTTCAAGGAACCCTTTAAGTAACCCTTTGAAGGATTCATAAAGGAACCTTTTGAAGGAATCCTTAAAGGGAACCTTCAAGCGAACCCTTTGAGCAACGGAACCCTTTGAGGGAATCCTGGTAAGGATACTATAGAACCCTATAGTACCCCTTAAGGGGGACCCTGTTATCGAACCTATACTACCCCTTACAGGGGGACCCTGTTATAGAACCTATACTACCCCTTACAGGGGGACCCTGTTATAGAACCCCTAAACCCTAAACCCTAAACCCTAAACACCACCCCTTAAAGGAAGCCTTACAGGGACCCTAAACCCTAAACCCTAAACCGTAGGACCCTACAGTACCCCTTAAAGGAAGCCTTATAAGGGGACCTTAGAAGCGGCCAAAGAGGCGGAGAAGAAGAAGCAGCCGACTGGCGCCTCGCAACCCATGGCGGTGGAGGCCAACGTCGAGGAGCGACCCTCGTAAGGGTTCCTTTAAGGGATCAACTTAGGGCCTTAGGGTTTAGGGTCCTTAAGGGTTCCTTTAAGGGATCAACTTGGGGCCTTAGGGTTTAGGGCTTATAGGGTTTAGGGTTTAGGGCTTATAGGGTTTAGGGTTTAGGGTTTAGGGTTTAGGGTTTAGGGTTGGCGTTAGGGTTTTTGTTGCTTCGGTGTTCGTGGGGTGTTTGACATGTATTTGTTTATGTTCATTTATTTTACAGGGCCTTGTAAATCCTCGTTTGATGTCTCTTGTCTGGATTTGGAGCTTCTTTAAGCGCTATACTTTCTTTGTTAGGAAGGGGGGTTCAGGGCTTTGGGGGGCTTTTTAGGGCTGTAGGAGCATAAGGTTTTGCAGCTTTAAGAGGATAGTGGCCTTCTCAGGTTTAGGCTAAGGCTTTTCGACTTTTTGCGGGCACCATTAACAAAGGCTTCTGAATGAACCCATGCAGGAACCCAACAGCAAAGCAGGAGTTTTTTCTATCTACACACATGTCGGGTGGGCACAGCTAACAAAAACCACACTGCTCCTTTTGTGTTCGTGTGGGCTAGCGTTGGTGCTGGGTCATTTCCGGCTTCATTCTCATGTTGGTATCACTCCATTTCTGACTTGATCGCATCGGCTATGTCTGGCTTCATTGATGCATCTCCGTCACTTCCCGCTTCATTTTCGTGCTCGTATCGTTTGTCATTGTTGCCTTTCCGGCTTAGTTTCCTCTTTGGGTTTGGGATCAGGCCGTACAATCTGAACATAGGGAGCAAGAAAGGCCCCGCCAAAGAAGGTCTTCTGTCTCACACCCCCAAACCCTAAACCCTTAAACCCTAAACCCTAAACGCCCTAAACCCTAAACCTCAAACCTTAAACCCTAAACCCTAAACGCCCTAAGCCCTAAACCCCAAACCTCAAACCCTAAACCCTACACCCCCTACACCTTGGCATTTCCAAGCCCAAATCGCGAACCAAAGGCTTCTCCGAACCCCGAGTTTTTTCTTTTCGGGTGCGCTGCTTGGGTTCTAGCTTTTTAGGGTTTAGGGTTTACGATCCTTAGGGTTTAGGGTTTAGGGCGAGGGTTTAGGGTTTACGATCCTTTGGGTTTAGGGTTTAGGGCGAGGGTTTAGGGTTTAGGGTTTAAGGTCCCTAGGTTTAGGGTTTGCAGGGTTTAGGGTTTTAGGATGTGCAAGGTTTAATAAAAGGGTGTAAGGATTGAGGGGTTTAGGGTTGAAGGGTTTAGGGCTTATTTTTTTGGGGGTTTAGGGCTTTGGGTCGAACTCCTGGGGCTCAGGTAGAACTCCAAATCCACACCCCCGGCAGGATCGGAATCGCACGGCGCCCTTCCCATTCTGCGGCAACCGCCCCGCGGTTCGAAGTTTAAGGTTTGGGGTTTAGGGTCAATACTTTCAGGCCACAGAGACCCGATTCAGGCATTATAAGTCCCAAACCCTAGGCCTAAACCCTAAACCCATTAAGGTTTAGCTTGATCGTCACACCAGATATCCGAAACCCTAAGCCCGTTTCTGTGGAGCTTTGGATTTGAAGGTTGCTGGAGTAGATTCGGCTTCTTTGGAGGATCAGTGGCTCAATGTGTGGCTTTGTGGGTGGACACTGGGGCCACTGGGTGAAGCTTCTGAACATCTCCGAGAAAGACTGAACAAGCCACTTAATCATTATAAAATATGCCCCCATGGTCCCCTTATAATTATTTATAATTAAGCTCAAAACCCAAACCCACATAGTGAAACATACTCTACCATACACTAGAGGCCCTAAGCGCCAGATCTACGTACGCCTATTTAAAGGGTCATGGCAACTCGGGATATCATTCAGGTAACTATGTCTGCAATTGCGTATATCCCCAACTATAACCTCGCTCACCAAGTCCCATGATCCTCCAAATACAGTTCTAAAGCCGCTATAGTACCCTTATCGAACCCCATAGAAACCTGCTTATGGATCCCTGTAGGTGTAGGGAGCCCTTTAAGCTAGTAAATAAGACAATATAGGGGCCTAAATAATTATGTTTTTTTTTTTTAATATATTTGTGTGTGTGTGGGTTCCTTGTTAAAGTTATAGTATGTTATAGTATAATATACACCACAACCCCATTCTAATTCATTACGGCCCCTTTACCATAGAACCCTACTTACAGAACCCTTTAAAGAGCCCATTAAAGGAATCCACTGTTCTAAGTT